TGTTTCCGTGGGATTTGGGGTATTTCTGTGGGATTTGGGTTTTTTCCGTGGGATTTGGGGTGTTTCCCTGGGATTTGGGGTGTTTCCATGGGATTTGGGGCTTTTAGATTGGATTGGGTGTTGGATTTGGGGTGTTTCCCTGGGATTTGGGGTGTTTCCCTGGGATTTGGGGTGTTTCCCTGGGATTTGGGGTGTTTCCCTGGGATTTGGGGTGTTTCCCTGGGATTTGGTGTTTTTCTGTGGCATTTGTGATTGGATTTGGGGTGTTTCTGGTGGGATTTGGGGTGTTTCCCTTGGATTCGGGGTGTTTCTGGTGGGATTTGGGGTTTTTCCCTTGGATTTGGGTTGTTTCTATGGGATTTGGGTTTTTTTCCGTGGGATTTGGGGTGTTTCCATTGGATTTGGGGTTTTTCCGCGGGATTTGGGGTGTTTCCCTGGGATTTGGGGTGTTTCCATGGGATTTGGGCTTGGATTTGGGTTTTTTTCTTTGGGATTTGGGCTTGGATTCGGGGTTTTTCCCTGGGATTTGGGTTGTTTCTATGGGATTTGGGTTTTTTTCAGTGGGATTTGGGGTGTTTCCATTGGATTTGGGGTGTTTCCCTGGGATTTGGGGTGTTTTCCTGGGATTTGGGGTTTTTTCTGTGGGATTTGGGCTTGGATTCGGGGTTTTTCCCTGGGATTTGGGGTGCTTACCTGGGATTTGGGGTTTTTCCATTGGATTTGGCGTTTTTCTGTGGGGTTTGGGGTGTTTCTGCGGGAGGAGGAGGAGGAGGAGGATGAGGACGACGGGGAGGATGAAGAGGAGGATGAGGAAGATGAGGATGAGGAGGAGGATGAGGATGAGGAGGATGAGGAAGATGAGGATGAGGAGGAAGATGAGGATGAGGATGAGGAGGATGAGGACGAGGATGAAGAGGAGGATGAGGATGAGGATGAGGATGAGGAGGATGAGGAGGATGAGGATGAGGATGAGGAGGATGAGGATGAGGAGAATGAGGAAGATGAGGATGAGGATGAGGATGAGGATGAGGAGGAGGATGAGGAAGATGAGGATGAGCAGAGCCTTCCTCCCGCCGCTGACTTCCCCACGGCCGCTCCTCTTCCTCCCCGCAGGAACGCCGCAGAAATACGACCCCACCTTCAAAGGGCCCATCTACGACAGGTGGGCAGAGCCCCC